GTTGAAGACCTGATAATCGTAGGTAAGCCAGTCCACCTTACGTATCCGTAGCGAAACTTGAAAAAAGTAAAAGCAAAAATAAGCGACGTGGTAAAATGTTTAAAGCTAAGGAAAGTCGCTTAGCATACCCCACTGGTGCAGCAACATGACGGTACGATAGAAAGACCTCCCTGATGGCGCACCCGAAGTGTGCGGCGCGAGGCATATTTTTTAAACAAACTCTCTGAAAACAGTTCTTTTTAAAGGCAGTGATATGACATTATTTAAACATGAATTTATAATGTCAATTTGGCGTTCTGAGAGAGGGTTTGACACATTTCTCCGCAAACTGAGCAAAGACGTTTACATCCTAGAGCTTTTGACAAGGGTTAAAACGTGTTTGGAGAGTTACAAACTGCAAAAGACGACAGTTAGTGTATGAAGTTAAGCCCCTATTGTCTGATCAGGCTGCCATGACAAGTTTCCTAATCATCAGAAGAGCGACATTTTAAGATAAGAGCAAAAATTTAATTTGTACTTAATCAGTGTGCGTTTTGATTAACTCCCGTAGCTTGAAATATCTTAAGCTTTTCACTTTTCTGGGGTAGAGGGCGGCCACCAAACCAGCTTTGCCAGAAAATATCAAGAAAGCAACGTAATTTGACTTGTTGCAGTTTTCTTGTAGACAGGAAATTATTATCTAATATAATTTGCAACAAAATCCTAAAAATACAGTTGATGAGATCCCCGGAAACACTTTCAATTAAACGAAAATATAGCACTTACTAAGTAAACAACTGATAAATAATAAAACGATCATCCCTCTAAGGGAGATTGCATAGTGCCAGATATATACCTCGACGCCTCTCGTCACCCACCGTCCCTTTTCGGGATATAGCTGCTGTATATACCTCTTATTAGCCGAGTTTTCGGTCCGTACTGTAAATTACGGACCCAGTTTTTTCCATCGATTTATGGCCCAAACGCGAAGCGCGCGGGCCATACATCGATCGAAAAAATCGAGGATCCGTAATTTACAGTACGGACCGAAAAAACGAGGCTAATAAGATGTTATTATATGGCTTCTTCCAGTTTGGGGAACCGCAAACAAGTGCAGGACTCGCGATTTGACAATCATTTGACAGGCGTCAAGAAAGAATGTTTTTATTGGCTCACAAAAACAATAGCACACAACAAGGGGTTTCCGAGAAAGTGAAAACAAATTCGCCATGTTGAAAAAGTTTATTTGGTCAAAACTAAGAGCGCTGTAAGTTTTAGCTCATTAATGTAACGCTGGAGTATTTTGGAAAATCGGGCACTGTGTCCTTCTCGAAGTCGTTTCCATCTTTCCTCCGTTGGACCTTGTGAAAAAAAAAAAAACACTGCAAAAGGCAAAGAAGCTTTTCAAGGTAACTTTGGTGTCATTGTCGAAGGATTCGCTCGTTAATGTTTTGGGGGAAAACCTCTTGAATTTCTGCCAGTTCATTCTCGTCTTCAAGTGTGATCTGCGTTAAAATTTTCAAACACTGACCATATTCTCTTCCACGGAAAGGTTACGATTCAGTTCCTACATCAGCTTCGTTCTCATTCAAACCAAGCTAGATTAAAATCAGGAAAGGCAAAGACAACATCCCAGTTCTCAGGGTTCACAGACATATTTTTAAGTACATTCGGTCAAAACTAAGAACACTGTAAGTATTCACTCGCGAATGTGACGCTGGAGTCTTTTGAAAACTGGACATTGTGTCTGGCTCGAAGTCGCTTCTGTCTTTCTTTCGTTGGTCTTTCGAAAAACACTGCAAATGGCAAAGAACCTCGTTAAGATGATCGGGTGCAGGCATGTTTGTTATCATATTTGTCGAAGGAATTACTCATTTTCTCTTAGGCAAAACATCTCGAAACTCTGCCAATCGATTTTCGTCTTCTTAACTGTGTACTACGATAAAATTTTCAAATTTCTTCATCGCCTTCGTACACAAGTAAACACAATTTAAAATGTTGAAGGGCAAAGTCAAAATCTAAGTCCTCAAGGTTGATAGACGTCTTGTAGCATTATTTCAACCTTTTTTTCCGAGGTAAAGAGATTTAGAGCTCCGAAATGAGCATTTTCTTTGAAATTTTGGTCCGTATAGCAAGTTACGGACCGAAAATTGACCAATCGCATGGCGAAAACAGACTCAGCCATATAATAAACTATCATATCCTCAAATAATAACACTGAATAAACAACAACACAAAATATTTGGTTATCTTACAACTTTTTCATAAAAGAAAGATTTGTGAATATTCCTGGCGGGAGCTTCTCGATCTTGCTTGACGATAAATCCCTACAGCAAAATTAAGCTAAAGAGGGTCAAACACGTCGTGCAAAAACCTGCTGCTTAAATATTAGCGAAATCCGCTTACCAATAGAAAAACTACCTCACAAGAACAAATTATCGAGCTAGCGAAATAAAACAAATCTAGATGTTTTCTTTTCTCGCTGTCTTACAAATTCGAGTTATTTTAGGGGATTAAATAG